GTACATAATGGTATGTCTGCGACTATTTGGATCGAAATCCATTTATGATTCGTTGTCCTCCCAAACCTGGCTGCTGCAGTTACTCTGTCTTACTCTTTAAAGATTTGATTGATGGTCGTGCAGTTCCGAATGCAGCTCATAGCATGTATTTTATAGTAGTTGAATCTATGACTTTGGTCAGCACGAAGTCTTCTTGATGATTTGCATGCTTGCGTTGCTACGTACTAAAAAGTAGTTACTATTCGCCTTGTCTTGTTAGGTTTATTAGCCATTTAAAGTGGTAACTTTATATACCACCTACTTCAACAGTCTGCACCTCTCTGGATTTCGTATTTATCGGTTTCGTCTTGTTCTCAATGCAAACAGTAATTATTTCCTTAAATAAACCATTTTATCTGTGTAATTGTGAAGGTTTTTTTCGATAAGAAGTGAACTATGTAATATTATTTAGACTACTTTAGACTTCATAGCGTTAATTGGTTTCCCCAACACTGTACCGTGGTTTTTCATCGTGTTATACAAATTTCAGGGCCTATTCCATAAATTTCCATACGCGAAGGTGAACAATTATATACTTTATGCAAATGTTTTAATTACAGACACAAAGTGATAGAAGACAGACTACACATATGTGTGTAGGGTTAAACTCTTTCTGTTGTGAAAAGCGTATTATGAAATTGTTTTGTCAGGGTGATCTATTGAAGAACAGTTAAAATGTTCCCAGGTCTTTTAACGAACATATAACTCAAAGATTCTACTCCATTTATTTCCGATTGTCAGGAAAGTAATCCTGAGACAAAGTAAATCACTCACTGAAGTAATACATGTAAATTATTAAATCACGGAGACCTGACGGGAAATGGATTTTACGAGATGTGGATGTCGACAGAGGTTATGTTTGATCTATACTTAGAGTGAACCAGGTCACTTTCTAACACTGAGAATTGGGTGGAGGGCGGACAACTTTTTGGCACTTGGCAGGCGGTGGGATGTGAAAGCATGGCCTATACCTTCAGTCCATATTTCTAAATTTACTCTCGTTTGAAAACAAACTTTTTTTAAAATATCTGACCAACGACTTTCGAACTCTACCCCTCAATAACAAGGTCAAAATAAGGACGCGGAAAAAGACCAAGAAATATTTAGTATATTCCTTGCGTGCATTGGCACATGTATGGATGTTAAGTCTTATTTAAAAGTTGTGTGTTTGATGTTTTATCATAAAGATGATTTTGTTTGCAACAAAATAAGAGTTGCCGATAATTAAAGTCGATTAAATTCTGTTCTAAAACAACAGCAAAAAGTCAGACATGGACAGTATTATAAAGGTCATCATTAGGTATCATAAACCAACAGCATTTTAAAGTACATACACTATATTATTAATTGCATTTTATTAATATTCATTTACGGGTTCAGCAATAGAAGAATTGTGTGTAAGTTTCTCGTTATTCTTATGTATTCCGCTGAACCTAAATAAATTCCTTGATCAATCACAAAATTGTTTAGTTGTTAACTACGTAGTGCGTTTAAAATTAAAAAAAGAACCGCCAGTTTCTTCACATGTATCTGTCCGGAAGCAACAGCTTCCAAAATATGTAACCGTTCTGGATTGAATTCGGCGCAGTAGATCCATGCCAAATATATCGATGTTGGTGTTACATGTTGTGACTTCGTGTGAATTTGTAGCCCTGAAAATAGAAACAGCGCGTCTATCTTAAACGTTAATATCTACCTACAGTAAAGAAGACTAAATTCAAGATCTTCACCGGCGTTAGAACCTCAAATATTCTTCGCTAAATTCAGTGGAGCGTTTTTAAGTACGCATATTCAGGTTCACTATGAGGGCCATTTTAGTTTAAGTGTGAATGAAAGTTCGGTGTATGTTTCTAAATAATTTCACAGATTTTAAATTTTAGAGATATAGCACTGTGTTTAATTCATTAATTATAGGAGCCTAAATACATTTTGATTCGTCTGAATGGATTGGAAAATTTGTTGGTATGCTTAAAATATTCCGTGTACGGTTTACACAAAAATTTCATTCTGATCACCTATTTAGAGACAGCTATTAAAGGGTAACAATACTAGTTAAGTATGCGCCGCGGAAAACGTCTTCCAATTTCTAACAATCGCATCGCCATATACCTAATTCCAGCACGATTTTTTGCTCTTAGAAGACAGGCGGGAACGTTGTTCTTAAGTTTTAATTTTCTGGTTTGTGTGACCAAAGATTTGTCCTACTTACTACTGGGTTCTCCTTGTGAGTGAACAATTCTCTGTTATTATTAAAATCGTAGGTCATTATTAGTTTACAAGAGGTCAAATCTGCATGAGAACGCACGACGTTTATATGCAGAAATATATTCTACGATTAGTTTAAACTGAAACTGATACGGAATATTCATATTATGTGATGGATGTTTAGATGAAGGCGTAGGCAAGTATATAGAACCCTGTTACAATCTCTGCAATTTATTACATAGTTGCGCATAATTACGCTGAACAATTAATGTTCTTCCTTTTATGTGTTAATTATGCAATGAACCTGTTAATTCCGATGCATTGTACATACATTAGACCCTGTAGTAGGATAATATAATACCAGTGGTTATAACAACAGTTCTGTCCATTATTGCTCTGTAAAAGGGAGAACATAATTTAGAGATGTTGCTAGATCTGAAACCACTTCGTAATATGATTCACGTCTCAGTGGAGACCTGACTTAAACACGTTGGACGCTGATGTAATATATCGCAAACCGTAAGAAATTTTCCGCACTAGATCGGGACCACTGCAGTGATTCTTATCTAAAATATAAGGTATCTGGTACAGTATCGTCACAAAAGATGGCATGGCTAGACAGTAAAATATATATTGGATTCATCTGACTCAGATTAAGAAAAGTGTCGGGCTTCTGTGAACGGGATAATAAACTTGCGCGCTGAATTCAAGTCGGAACATTTCTGAAGTAGCTGAGCGTATATCAGCTTCTCAAAAAGGGTTCTGCTTCATGGAGTCAGTTTCGTAAGGTGGTAATTAGACAGTCCAGCAGAAGGTGTATGTGAAAGCTGGATCACATATTTAAATACAGCTTGTTTAATATTTCATAATTAAAGGGAGTGCTTGAACTTGAGAATAGTTGCTGTAGAGTTATCACTAACAACTTTCATCAAGGCGTTGAATTTAATTCCAGACAGTTTCAGGGGGTTTACAAAATGAATTTCTTGAAATTACTGTTTCAAAGGCCGTTGTTTCTTTGTCAATTAATATATACACCTTACGCCGGACAAAACCTTCGAAAGAATATATTGCGTTCATATATTTTTGCTTTTCAAGGCCTCTACAGTCGAATGCGTTGAATTCAGATAAATGATAACGCAGCGGAGTGATACAACGTAAAGATATATCTACTTAGATGTGAATATAGTACTTTAGGTTTAAATCCGTCGAAGTTTGTAAAGAAAATAGTAAGCAATTCATGAAATCCTGCTTAGATAAACCACGTTGTGCTTGTCTCTAGTTTCTCACACGCTGAAATGCTACATAATTCCTGTCAAAATAGTTTGTCAAGCACACAACAAACACTTGCTGGGGAGAGGATTACTTGATTTACCATAGCAGGTCACACGATCATGCATGTGGCTGCAACTACACGACATATCGCTTAAAGGCAGCCACAGAGGAATGAGGAATTGCTGGAGAGGAGAAACACAAATGCAAATTGTAGGCTCAATTCACAGATTAATATTTGTTTTTTTATTTATCATTAACAAACCATCCGTCTTATGACAAGCCTGTAGATTATTATATGTTGTAAATGCTGGAACAGTATCATATCAGCCCAGCTGCTGATTATAACCGTCTATTTTCTAACCCTTCAATGAGGAGAGTTCCGTTACTTCTAATTGACAATAACAAATAATCACAACAAATTTAAATCCAAATTAAATTAATTTTATTTATAATTGTTTATCATTATAAGACATTTTAAAATTCGTGCAACATTCCGGAAATGAAAATGTGTTAGTCAGTCAGTCAATCAATCAATCAATTAATCAATCATTAAATCAACTCTTATTTACATGTGTATTCATGACAGGAATTTTGCAGTCTACAGTTGTAACATAACTATCTCTATTCCTTAATATAATATATTATTCTTTATCGCACAATATATCTACTTGCCTGTTTATTATTTTCCATAATGTACTACTTATTTTATTCTCCTCTTTAAATTAAAATGTGGTTGTACTCTCCAGTAACGAGTAGCTTTATCTCCCACGAAGTACTTCCGAGTGCTGAAGAGTATGATTTGTTTTTGTCAAAGGTCATAATGCTATTCTCCAATGGAATACATATAAGATATCTCATATATATCTCACAGTCTCTAAAAGTAGTATTCGTTGTTTAAAAAAAATCCCCATTTTTTCTTAGTCCATTTTTATTCTGCACGAGCTATTCGCCAGTAAGCAAATGTTCTCGTGCAAATCCCGCGTGTGTTTTGTCCCAGATTTAGGCTCACAAACACGATTTATTTCACTTATCCTGATTGAATTCACAGTCCTTGCACACGTGACATACACTTCCATATCACGCGCACTTACCATAGTGTTTGCTTTCTCTCACGTACACTTCTTGAGAGAGTTTGAATAAAAATACGTAACTATCGAGATGAATTTATTTCCAGCAGTGGTTTAAAACGCGCTGAGAAGTGTCCGTAATCGATTTTCTGTATTTAAAATCGCACAGATTGAAATACAAATAATAACAGACACAACGAATAGCTGATTTATGTAACATCTAGTTGAATCGTAATATTTACGTTCAAAATAGGCAAATTAATGAAGACGAAGATGTTGTTGCACTGCGGTGCAGAAAACAAACAATGACGTTAGTTAACCTGAGTCAATAGTACTGCTTGCCTGAGGACACCCGATAACGACGAGCGACCCCGGGACAAGTAAACACAGCGACAGTACATGCACATTCTGTTTCAGTACCTGCTCACGTGGTCTGGGCTGTCAGTGGCACGGATGCTGAGCTACCATGTGACGTCACACCACCTTCCCCAAAGGACAGGATCAACATGGTCCTGTGGTTCAAAGACTCTACGGGAATCCCGCTGTACAGGTGAGAAATGCAAGCAATGTCTCACATTTCAAATGAACCATCTACCTAGAGAGGCTGGCCTGCAAATTTAATATTTCTGTATCAAAATTAAATGGAATATACAGTGGGTCCACAAAGTCCTTTCGGCAGACACGGTCCAATGCCTTGGCCTCCACGTACACCAGACATAACACCACTGGATTTTTCAGTTTTTCAGAACCCAGAAGGGACTTTGTGGACATACTGTATATAAAGTAGCAAAACTATTAATAATCTCTCTCGCTGAAAGAACTGTTATGTAGTATAACTGCGTTTAATTAAATAGAACACTTTACGAATGAGACCCTCAGATCACAGAACTGCAGGGTAACTCGACCACAAACTAGACAGAGGATGCATGTGTGCCTGCAAGATTAAACTTGCTTAACTACTGAAAAATCACTGTCAATGTACGCTATACACATGTAATATTAAGGCCTCATCTTTGTGTCGATGTTTGTAGATTAATGCTAAACTTATACTGAAATCGGAAATGTCTAGGTCTGTGCTTTTAGAGCTTGGGTAACGTTTCCGCTTTGAAATGGAAAGTGGGAAATATTTTCACGGAAAAAAAATATCAAGAGCTTAACTATGCTGTTGCGAAACAATCCGAGCCAACATTTGAAAGGAGTGGAAACTTTACGTCCCTGTACCAATAAATAAGGGTAGATTCTGTGCATAAATGTACAAGAATAATAACCAACATGGACCCTGTAGACAATATATAGTCCGCTAAATATTCTGCCAATCATATTTTCTTCCCTTTTCGAATAATCGAAAGGCTATAGAAGGTGTGCTCTAAACACCTGTCTTTCCCAGAAGGGGCTTTGTTCTTGTAAACAGTCTTTCTTCCAAAGCACGCCTTAACCTGAAGATAGGAAAGAGACAATTTCCAATAACACGATGCGGTCACCCGAGTTAACGAACACCCGAACGAAGGTAAGGAAGTGTACATGTTAATTCTTCAGAGGCTTAAGTTGGTACAACTGACATGAACAGAGGGCATTTACGCACGCCTAAAAGGATTAATATGATACCGGTAGTTAATAAAGAGTTCTCGGGCTATCAGCCATGTTAGTTGGTGATCAATCGCCGACTTTTCGAGGACCATCTCTGTCATCATTTTCAAGGCTGTTCACTGTGTGGCTACGAGCCACAGAAGACAGAGGTGGTCCTAGAAAGGTCGGCGATTGATAACCGACTAACACGGCTGATAGCCCGAGAAGACTTTATTAATGAAAGCCGCCCTGAAATATTGACATCATATACCGGTAGTTCTTTGAGTTGTGCTTACTTAACAGTGCCAGAGGCGGTGTTTACAAAGAGAAAAACAACAGTCCGACAGTAAGATTGATAGGAATAAACAGTCAATGAAAAAATCGTGTGTACTTTCCGGTTGTTCCCCTGTTGCTATGTTTATTCTTGTCCATTGAGAGTTCTCATCGCGGTGACAGGAATAACACGAGAGAAAGAAGAAGACATGCGTAGGGAATCAGTGAGTCACAGAATAATCAACGCACACGCAAGTTTCGCCCAGAGGAAACCTGTTATGACTATTTTGAACTCGGCAGACTTAATTCTGTGTAAATGGGCCCAATCCTGATCGTGATGGTTGTCAACGTCAGTTCTACTCCATTTTATAAAGCCTGTTTGTAATATATTACTTTTGCAAATTCTTAAGCTTGGTCTTAGCTTCTGATTAATGACGCCCTGCTGATATATATTAAATGTTTTGAACAGTTTGTTGAAATAGTTACTTTCTCAGGAGCCTTTCACTTATTGCTCAATTCTTTCATGGAAAGAGTAGCATCTAATTTCATATAAACCTGTCTAAATGAATCATATTTAATAATTCAGTCTTTATATCACGTAAAACGAAACATTTCCGTATAATAAAGATAAACTGGTTAATGCATTTTCAGGAAAAATAGTTGTTTGCACTTACAATCGCAGAAGACCCGTAAATTCAAATTGTATATTTACCAATTCTTAAAAGCAGGTGGTATGTACAACTACCACTGGACTTCGGGGAGTTAAGCCATGTTTTCTTATATGTAAGTGCGTCGCTACAGCCGTTCAGAGGGGAGACACTTAACTATTTAAGAAGCTGTTAGTAACGCTATCCTGAGGTGAACTGTGTATTTTCTGAGGAGTGTTTTAGCAATTCAAGAAGTATGTAAGCTGCAATTTACTGACAGTCGCTTTGTTCTACACATTAAACTTTGCTTTCTGGTAGCAGGCACTAACTGCCAAGAAAATCCTCCTGGGACCCTATGTTATCCGAGAGCCTTCCAATTATCTGTATTAAATTCAACAAGAATTACATCTGTTCTCTCTCAGGAAGTGAAATTTAATGCAGATAGACTGCACATGATAAATTTTACTAGAATTTTAGTAGAAACGTAGATTTGTTGTTTTGTGTTTCTGAAAACGTAAACCGTATCGAGTTCAGATGCACTAAAAATTGACTAATTTTGCTTTGCGCACTCCTACGTCCGATCAGAGACTTTATAGTCCAAAAGTATTCTCCGCATTCATTTTCACTAGCTGTTCGTAGAGATTTACAATAACTTCTATTTGCGCTACTGGTTCGTAGTAGTCTAGATAATTGACAGACAGTCGCTTTCTAAGAAGGATGTTGATACCGGCTAGGATGTCACAGTAATAATAAAATACTGGAAATTTGTTGTAGCTCGTATTTTGTAAAGGTGAGAACTATTCAGAAAATTGTCTCTGCTACTGAGAGAAGTTATTTTTGTAAACAGATCTGCAGACACTTCATTTAAGTAAAAATACGATATTGCATTGCAGTTGATAATGAACTAGAATATCGCTCTTCACTAATTACAGGAAAATCTGAAGCAGTGCTTAACGACATTTTTATCGAAAACTATAACAATTCAAAACATTAACAATGATTATTTTTGTTGAAAGACAAAAGCTGAGATTCTATAATACGTAAACTTCTGTTATGCTGATGTGGGACGAAGTTTAATGCGACTACAACAATGAAAAAGGGTTCACTGCTGGATGTCGTACTTCTCAGTGGAGTTTCGAGCCTTGTACAGCTAAAGGCTGAGTTGGATTAGGTCAGTGATCCGACGCCAATCGATTTAATTCGTCTGCAGTCCAGTAGGTAACGTGCAATTCTGTCACATGTGCAAAAAAATATTACGATTTATCGTAATTAAGGTATGCAGCACATTTACTAGGCTTTCTGTGCGTCGTTGCGTCATAAATGGTTGGTAATAAAGGGGATATTACGAAATAAATGAAAATTTAAATGGGATGAAGTACTGAAGTCGGTGTCTTGGTGCATTTTAAAAGTAGCATTAATGTATTAGAAGAAAATGTGAACGTTCATCAGGCATTACCAACCTCAGACATCGATTTCCTTTCCATTAAATTTCGAAGCAGTAGGCGCAATATAAATTGTTCAGTGTTAGTCTTTAAGTGCATTACGTGTAGTAGGGGATTATGTGGACCATGAGAATATACACTGACGAATAACAGTGACATGTAGTATGTTGATGCAGTGATATCGCTTCTGATTCACATTCGGGAAGTTTAAGGTTGAAATTCGTTTGAAGAACAGCTTTCGTGATATGTTTCTTTGAATTTGGAATATTATTCTGAGGAAATTTCTATCATTAGAAACTACTTAAGCTCAAGCTGTTGCAACAGCATCGTAAAATAACCAAATAACTAACTATTTGAACCCACATCGAAAAGAGAGTTAACGTATTATAACACAAAATGTAATGTACTCGTTATCGTGGTCAATTAGTCTTACAGTACCTGTTCCAAAATCTCCTCTCGCTTCTCAGCTACATGTCATAATAGAAACGCAAGGGGCAGATACACTGGCGTTTGTTTTGTTGTTAAATTCATTTCTGTGTAAGCTTTTATGATATTTTCCTGACGTTACTATCTAATTATTTCGTCTTCATGTCTTCCCTGTCACTTTGTAATTGCCTTATACATATATTTATCAAAGTAATTCTCGACTTTCTGCTTGTAATTCATATTGTCCTTCCTTTGCTTTAAAGCTATAATAACGACACCGGCTTACTTTTGTGTTTCTTTTAAAAGTTTTTCCACTTGAAATAATATCAACAGAAGAAGGCAGAGCCATTCCAACCACTGTCTTCGACAGTGTAAATTCGTAAAGAAATTCAAATACGCAGTTGAAAACAGTTTCTTTTAGATTACTAAGATCACTGAATCTCGGAGTCAGGAAACTGTGTCATAAGGATCTGGTCTGTTTTCAGAAATCTGTCTGGTCTTTATTTC